AAAAGTCGACAGGGGACACGGGGGGGACACGGGAGGGGACAGGGGAGGGGACAGGGGACACGGAGGAGGGGACACGGGGGGGAACAAAGGGGACATCGCGGGGACCAATGCAGGGGACAAATGGGGACACCCCAGGAGGGGACACGCAGCTCGGGGACACCCCGGTGGTCGTGTCCCTGTGTCGCCGCGGTGTCCCCAAGGGTGGCACAGCAGCCGTGGGGACAGGGTGGGGACACGGGGCTGTCCCTGACGTGTCCCTGACGTGTCCCTGACGTGTCCCGCGGTGTCCCCGCGGTGTCCCCGCGGTGTCCCCTCCCCAGGGCTGGCGCTGGAGCTGAGCGTGGACGGGGCCAAGGCGGGGGGGGCGCGGCGCGCGCTGTTCCTGGGGGGGGGCCCGGGGGGGGCGCCCCCCTCCCCCACCCGCAACCTGTCCCTGGAGGTCCCCAACGGGGGGACCCCGCGCTGCCGCACGCTGCCCGTGTTCCTCAGGGTAAGGGGCACCCCGGAACGGCCCCAAACACCCCGAAACTGCCCCGGGACCCCGAAACTGCCCCGGAACCGCCCCAAACACCCCAAAACTGCCCCAAACACCCAAAAAACTGCCCCAAAACCGCCCCAAACACCCCAAAACTGCCCCAAATACCCAAAAAACTGCCCAAATACCCAAAAAACTGCCCCAAAACTGCCCCAAACACCCCAAAAACTGCCCTGGGACCCTGAAACTGCCCTGGGACCCCAAAACTGCCCCAAAACCTCCCCAAAACCGCCCAAAACACCCCAAAACTGCCCCAAACACCCCAAAAACGCCCCGGGACCCCAAAACTGCCCCAAAACCGCCCCAAAACTGCCCCGGGACCCCAAAACTGCCCCCAAACCACTCCAAAAAACTGCCCCGGGACCCCACAACTGCCCCAAGACCCCGAAACTGCCCCGGGACCCCAAAACTGCCCCCAAACCACCCAAAACACCCCAGACTGGCCCCGGGAGCCCTGATGTCACCCCCGTGTCACCCTGGGCAGCCCCTGTGTCACCTCTGGGTCTCCCGTGTCACTTCCCTGTCACCCCTGGGACCCCCTCCCCGTGTCCCCCTCGGTGTCCCCGGTGTCCCCAATGTCCCCGTTGTCCCCGGTGTTCCCATGTCCCCCATGTCCCCATGTCCCCCATGTCCCCATGTCCCTGGTGTCCCCATGTCCCCGTGTCCCCATGTCCCCATGTCCCCAACGTCCCCGGTGTCCCCGATGTCCCCATGTCCCCAGAACGAGTCCGAGTTCCGGGACAAGCTGTCCCCCATCCCGCTGTCCCTGAGCCTGGCCCTGGACCCGGCCGCGTCCCCTCCCCCGCCGGGGCTGTCCCCGCTGCTGTCCCCGGCCACGCGCACGCGCCTGGAGGCCAAGGTACGCGTCACCTGTCACCTGTCACCTCTGTGTCACCCTGTCACCCTTGTCACCTCTGTGTCGCCCTGTCACCGTGTCACCTGTGTTACCCTGTCACCTCTGTGTCACCTCTGTGTCACCTCTGTGTCACCTGTGTCACCATGTGTCACCCTTGTCACCTCTGTGTCACCTGCGTCACCTGTGTCACCCTGTCACCTGTATCACCCTGTGTCACCTCTGTGTCACCTGTGTCAGGTGTCACCTGTGTCACCATGTGTCACCCTTGTCACCTCTGTGTCACCTGCGTCACCTGTGTCACCCTGTCACCTGTGTCACCCTGTGTCACCTCTGTGTCACCTGTGTCAGCTGTCACCTGTGTCACCATGTGTCACCCTTGTCACCTGTGTCTCACCTCTGTGTCACCTCTGTGTCATGCTGTCACCCTGTCACCCTGTCACCTGTGTCACCTCTGTCACCTGTGTCACCCTGTTACCTCTCTGTCACCTCTGTGTCACCGTGTCACCTGTGTCACCTGTGTGTCCCCTGCGCTGTCCCCTCTGATGTCCCCGTGTCCCCAGGCCCACATCCAGCTGGACTGCGAGGACAACGTCTGTGTGCCCGACCTGCAGCTCGAGGCCAGCGCGTAAGGGGGACAGGAGGGGACACCGGGGGACACCGGGGACATTGGGGACACCAGGGGACACCGGGGGACATGGGGACAGGAGGGGACATCGGGGACACCGGGGACATTGGGGACACCGGGGGACACAAAGGCACTGGGGGCACCGGGGAGGGCTGGCTGTGCACAGGGTGTCCCTGGGGATGTCCCCAGTGTCCCCACGGACTGTGGGGCCGTGTTCTAGGGGGGTTTTGGGGGGGTTTGGGGGTGTCCCTGTCCCCAATGTCCCCAGTGTCCCCATGGACGGCCTGGGGGTGTGTCCCTGTCCCTGTCCCCAGTGTCCCCATGTCCCCATGTCCCCGTGTCCCCAGGGACCGCCGGGCCGTGTTCCTGGGGGACAGGAACAGCCTGAACGTGACGTTCCAGGCGCGGAACGTGGGCGAGGGGGGGGCCTACGAGGCCGAGCTGCACGTGCGGCCCCCCCCGGGCGCGCTCTACTCGGGGGTCCTGCGGCCCCACGGGGTGAGGGGCGCGGGGGTGGGGGTGTCCCCAGTCTGGGGGTCCCTGGGGAGTGTCCCCAAGGTGGGTGAGGGTCCCCTGGGGGTGTCCCCAATCTGGGGAGGGGGTCCCGGTGGGTGTCCCCAGTGGGGGTGGGTGTCCCTGGGAGTGTCTCCAGTCTGGGAGGGTCCCTGGGGGTGTCCCCAATGGGGGTGGGGTTCCCCTAGGGGTGTCCCCAGTCTGGGAGGGGGTCCCTGGGGGTGTCCCCAAGGTGGGTGGGGTTCCCCTGGGGGTGTCCCCAAGGTGGGTGAGGGTCCCTGGGGGTGTCCCCAGCCTGGGGAGGGGGTCCCTGGGGGGGTCCCCAATGGGGGAGGGGGTCCCTGGGGGTGTCCCCAGCCTGGGGGTCCCGGGGGTCCGGGCTGTGACTGCCCCTCCCCCGCAGCAAGAACGCCAACAACTCCCAGAGCGCCCTGGTGCCGGTGGCGCTGGCCGTGAGGGCGGCCACCAGGGTGTCCGTGCTGGGGGGAGGGACAGCAGGGGACATGGGGACAATGGGGACACGGGGACACACAGGGGACATGGGGACAGCCAGGGTGTCCGTGCTGGGGTGAGTGATACCGGGGACATGGGGACACACAGGGGACATGGGGACACACAGGGGACATGGGGACACACAGGGGACATGGGGACACACAGGGGACATGGGGACACACAGGGGACATGGGGACACACAGGGGACATGGGGACACACAGGGGACATGGGGACACACAGGGGACATGGGGACACACAGGGGACATGGGGACACACAGGGGACATGGGGACACACAGGGGACATGGGGACACACAGGGGACATGGGGACACACAGGGGACATGGGGACACACAGGGGACATGGGGACACACAGGGGACATGGGGACACACAGGGGACATGGGGACACACAGGGGACATGGGGACACACAGGGGACATGGGGACACACAGGGGACATGGGGACACACAGGGGACATGGGGACACACAGGGGACATGGGGACACACAGGGGACATGGGGACACACAGGGGACATGGGGACACACAGGGGACATGGGGACACACAGGGGACATGGGGACACACAGGGGACATGGGGACACACAGGGGACATGGGGACACACAGGGGACATGGGGACACACAGGGGACATGGGGACACACAGGGGACATGGGGACACACAGGGGACATGGGGACACACAGGGGACATGGGGACACACAGGGGACATGGGGACACACAGGGGACATGGGGACACACAGGGGACATGGGGACACACAGGGGACATGGGGACACACAGGGGACATGGGGACACACAGGGGACATGGGGACACACAGGGGACATGGGGACACACAGGGGACATGGGGACACACAGGGGACATGGGGACACACAGGGGACATGGGGACACACAGGGGACATGGGGACACACAGGGGACATGGGGACACACAGGGGACATGGGGACACACAGGGGACATGGGGACACACAGGGGACATGGGGACACACAGGGGACATGGGGACACACAGGGGACATGGGGACACACAGGGGACATGGGGACACACAGGGGACATGGGGACACACAGGGGACATGGGGACACACAGGGGACATGGGGACACACAGGGGACATGGGGACACACAGGGGACATGGGGACACACAGGGGACATGGGGACACACAGGGGACATGGGGACACACAGGGGACATGGGGACACACAGGGGACATGGGGACACACAGGGGACATGGGGACACACAGGGGACATGGGGACACACAGGGGACATGGGGACACACAGGGGACATGGGGACACACAGGGGACATGGGGACACACAGGGGACATGGGGACACACAGGGGACATGGGGACACACAGGGGACATGGGGACACACAGGGGACATGGGGACACACAGGGGACATGGGGACACACAGGGGACATGGGGACACGGGGGGCCACCAGGGTGTCCGTGCTGGGGTGAGTGACAGCAGGGGACATGGGGACAATGGGGACACACAGGGGACACAGGGACAGCCAGGGTGTCCGTGCTGGGGTGAGTGACAGGGGACAGCCAGGGACACCCAGGGACATGGAGGGGACGCAGAGGGGCCAGGAGGGGACCTGAGGCCTGCCAGAGCCTCTGAGTGACAGCCAGGGGACACGGCGGTGACACGGCGGTGACACACGGCGCTGACCCCCGGCTGTCCCCTCAGGGTGTCCCGCCCCTACGTTGTCACCATCCCCGAGGGGGGGTCGGGCGGCGGTGACACGGCGGTGACACGGTGGTGACCCCCGGCTGTCCCCTCAGGGTGTCCCGGCCCGACGTTGTCACCATCCCCGAGGGGGGGTGGGGACCCGACCCCCCCCAGCGGCTGCAGGACCTGGGGCCACCCGTGGAGCACGTCTACGAGGTGGGGACAGCGGGGACACCTGTCCCCAGCCGGGGTCACAGTGTCCCCAGTTGGGGTCCCAATGTCCCCAACCCTGGGATCACACTGTCCCCAAACCCTGGGGGTCACAATGTCCCCAAACCGGGGGGGTCACGATGTCCCCAACTGGGGTCACAATGTCCCCAACCCTGGGGCCACAATGTCCCCAACCCTGGGGGTCACAATGTCCCCTACCCAGGGTCCCAATGTCCCCAACCGGGGTCACAATGTCCCCAACCAAGGTCACAATGTCCCCAACCCTGGGGGTCACACTGTCCCCCACCAGGGTCACAATGTCCCCAAACCCTGGGGGTCACAATGTCCTCAGCCTGGGGGGTCACACTGTCCCCAACCAGGGTCACAATGTCCCCAACCCTGGGGTCTGTGCCCCCAACCCTGGGGGTCCCAATGTCCCCAACCCTGGGGTCTGTGTCCCCACCCCGGGCTCCCATGTCCCCCCCGTGGGTCCCCGTGTCCCCAAACCGGGGCTGCCCCCCCCTCCCCCCCGAGCCCTGGGGGTCCCCATGTCCTGACCCCGTGTCCCCAAACCGGGGCTGTCCCCCCGTGTCCCCCGTGTCCCCAGGTGGTGAACGAGGGTCCCAGCGCCATCAGCCAGGGCACGCTGGAGCTCAGCTGTCCCCTGGGCCACCGCGGCCACCCCCTGCTCTACGTCACCGGCCACGAGGGGCTGCCCAACTGCTCGGCCAGCCACGGCACGGACCCGCTGCGCCTGGTAGGGGACACGGGGGACACGGGGGGACAGCGGGGACAGCGGGGACAGTGGGGGGGCATTGGGGACACCGGGGACACCGGGGACACGGGGACACGCCTAGGGTGACCCGTGGTGACCCGCAGTGACACGGGGGTGGCTGTGGTGACCCACAGTGACACGGGGGTGGCTGTGAGTGACACGCGGTGACACGGGGGTGACTGAGGTGACTGGTGGTGACCTGCGGTGACACACGGTGGCCCTGGGTGACTGAGGTGGCCGTGCTGGCCCTGGGTGACCCGCGGTGGCCCCGGGTGACACGGGGTGGCTGTGTTGACCCTCGGTGACACACGGTGGCCCTGGGTGACTGAGGTGGCCGTGCTGGCCCCGGTGACCCGCGGTGGCCCTGGGGACAGGGCTGTCCCGAGGCCGAGTGTTTCCGGCTCAGCTGTCCCTCGGGGCCGCTGGAGCGGCAGCAGCGCGTCACCCTGCGGCTCGGCTTCCGCCCGCGGAGCCCCCCCCCGCGCCAGGTGGTACCCCTGGAACCCCCCAAAATACCCCCGGAACCGCCAAAACAGCCCGGAACCCCCAAAACAGCCCGGGACCCCAAAACAGCCCTGGGGACCCCCAGAACAGCCCCGGGACCCCCACCCCTGGGACCCCCAAATACCCCTGGGACCCCCAGAACAGCCCCGAGACCCCCCAGGACCCCAAAACACCCTGGGGACCCCCAAACACCCCCAGGACTCCCAACACCCCTGGCACCACCCCGGGGACCCTAAAAGACCCCTGGGACCCCCTGGAACTCCCTGAGCCCCCCAGGATCCTGGGACCCTCCCCAAATTCCTGGGGAACCCCCCCCCAAAATCCCTGGGACCCCCCAGAACCTGTCCCGGATCCTGGGACCCCCCCGGGACCCCCTGGGACCCCCTGGGATTCCCCAGGAGCGGCCTTTGGGTCCCCTGCATTTCCTGGTGACACTGACACGCTGTCCCCTGTGTCCCCGTGTCCCCTGCGTGTCCCCGCGTGTCCCCATGTCCCTGCATGTCCCCCGTGTGTCCCCATGTCCCCGCGTGTCCCCGCGTGTCCCCTTTGTGTCCCCCTCTGTGTCCCCGCGTGTCCCCTGCATGTCCCCTCTGTGTCCCCTCTGTGCCCCCCGTGTGTCCCCTCTGTGTCCCTGTGTGTCCCCTCTGTGTCCCCGCGTGTCGCCATGTCCCTGCGTGTCCCCCGTGTGTCCCCATGTCCCCACGTGTCCCTGCGTGTCGCCATGTCCCCGTGTGTCCCCTGCATGTCCCCTCTGTGTCCCCTCTGTGTCCCCGCATGTCCCCATGTCCCCGTGTGTCCCCATGTCCCCGCGTGTCCCCGTGTCCCAGCGGGAGCTGTGGCCGCTGTCCCTGCGCTGTGACGCCGAGTTCCGCGTGCTGCGGCTGCCGTACCGCGTGCGGCCCGAGAGCTACCCGCGCCACCGCCTGCAGGTGACACCGGGGACACCGGGGTGACACCGGGGACAGGGGGACATGGGGGGGACATGGGGGGGACAGGGGGGGCCCGGGGGGGCGGGGGGGGGGCGCGGGGGGGCCCGGGGGGGTGTCGGGGTCCCCCTGACCCCCCTGTCCCCTGTCCCCCCTGTCCCCCTGTCCCCCCAGCTGGGTTTCTTCAAGCGCTCGGGGCCCTACGGCACCGCCATGGAGAAGGCGCAGCTCAAACCCCAGGCGGCCTCCGAGGCCTGAGGTGACAGGGACAGCCCGGGCTGGGGACACCCCGGGACTGGGGACACCCCCGGGCTGGGGACATCCCATGGCCTGGGGACACCCCAAAGCTTGGGGACACCCCAGAGCTTGGGGACACCCCAGGGCTTTGGGACACTCCAGAGCTTGGGGACACCCCAGGGCTTGGGGACATCCCAGAGCTTGGGGACATCCCAGGGCTTTGGGACACTCCAGAGCTTGGGGACACCCCAGGGCTTGGGGACATCCCAGAGCTTGGGGACATCCCAGGGCTTTGGGACACTCCAGAGCTTGGGGACACCCCAGGGCTTGGGGACACCCCAGGGCTTGGGGACATCCCATGGCCTGGGGACATCCTAGAGCTTGGGGACACCCCAGAGCTTGGGGACACCCACAGCTGAGGACATCTCTACGGCTTGGGGACATCTCACAGCCTGGGGACACTCCGTGGCTTGGGGACACTTCACAGCTTGGGGACACCCACAGCCAGGGACACCCACGGCTGGGGACACTCCATGGCTTCAGGACATCCCCACGGCTTGGGGACATCCCACGGCCAAGGCCACCCCATGGCTTGGGGACCTTGGGGACACTTCACAGCTTGGGGACATCCCCACACTTGGGGACCCCCGCAAGGACAGTGTCACCTGCACGGACAGGGACCCCCGCAAGGTGACGTCACCCGCGTCACCGCTGGGGACCCTCCCATGGCTGGGGACCCCGCAAGGACAGTGTCACCTGCACGGACAGGGACCCCCGCAAGGTGACGTCACCCGCGTCACCGCTGGGGACCCTCCCATGGCTGGGGACCCCGCAAGGACAGTGTCACCTGCACCATGGTGTCACCTGCATGGCCTGTGTCACCTGCATCGGTGACATCCCCCCCTCCACGCCCCCGGCGGGGGGGCCCGGGGGGGCGGGGGGGGGGCGCGGGGGGGCCCGGGGGGGTGTCGGGGTCCCCCTGACCCCCCTGTCCCCTGTCCCCCCTGTCCCCCTGTCCCCCCAGCTGGGTTTCTTCAAGCGCTCGGGGCCCTACGGCACCGCCATGGAGAAGGCGCAGCTCAAACCCCAGGCGGCCTCCGAGGCCTGAGGTGACAGGGACAGCCCGGGCTGGGGACACCCCGGGACTGGGGACACCCCCGGGCTGGGGACATCCCATGGCCTGGGGACACCCCAAAGCTTGGGGACACCCCAGAGCTTGGGGACACCCCAGGGCTTTGGGACACTCCAGAGCTTGGGGACACCCCAGGGCTTGGGGACATCCCAGAGCTTGGGGACATCCCAGGGCTTTGGGACACTCCAGAGCTTGGGGACACCCCAGGGCTTGGGGACATCCCATGGCCTGGGGACATCCTAGAGCTTGGGGACACCCCAGAGCTTGGGGACACCCACAGCTGAGGACATCTCTACGGCTTGGGGACATCTCACAGCCTGGGGACACTCCGTGGCTTGGGGACACTTCACAGCTTGGGGACACCCACAGCCAGGGACACCCACGGCTGGGGACACTCCATGGCTTCAGGACATCCCCACGGCTTGGGGACATCCCACGGCCAAGGCCACCCCATGGCTTGGGGACCTTGGGGACACTTCACAGCTTGGGGACATCCCCACACTTGGGGACCCCCGCAAGGACAGTGTCACCTGCACGGACAGGGACCCCCGCAAGGTGACGTCACCCGCGTCACCGCTGGGGACCCTCCCATGGCTGGGGACCCCGCAAGGACAGTGTCACCTGCACCATGGTGTCACCTGCATGGCCTGTGTCACCTGCATCGGTGACATCCCCCCCTCCACGCCCCCGGCTGGGGACACCCACGGCGCCCACCCCCACACTGGCACGGCCACCACCGGGCTGGGGACACTGCCACAGAACTGTCACCGGGCTCAGGACACTGTCACTGAACTGTCACTGGGCTGGGGACATCGTCACAGAACTGTCACCGGCCTCAGGACACTGTCACAGAACTGTCACTGCATTGAGGACACTGTCCCAGAATTGTCACCAGGTTCAGGACACTGTCACAGGAACTGTCACCGACTTGGGGACACTCAGAGAACTGTCACCGCACTGGGGACACCATCACAGAAACTGTCACCACGTTGGGGACACTGTTACAGAACTGTCACTGGGCTGGGGACGCTGTCCCTGAACTGTCACCGCGCTGGGGAACCACCAGGACGTGTCCCCATGGCGCAGCTGCCACCACCGGCTTGGGGACACCAAAGTGGGAACCCCGGACTGGGAACAGCCAGGATGTCACCAGTGGGGACTGTCACCACCGGACTGGGAACTGTCACCAGTGGGAATTGTCACCATGGGACCGGGAACTGCTGGCACATGGGTGACACCGCGCTGGCACCGACACTGCAGGGGACACAAGGACACCACGGGGACATCACAGGGACACCAGGACATGTCCCCAGCACTGTCACCTCAGCCAGGACAGGACCTGGTGGCGGTGTCACAGTGTCACCCTGTGCCAGCGTGACCCGGGGACGCTGCCACCCACTGCCCCCAGTGTCACCCACTGCCCCCGGTGTCACCCGCTATCCCCAGTGTCACCCGCTGTCCCCAGTGTCACCCGCTGCCCCCGGTGCCACCCGCTATCCCTGGTGTCACCCGCTATCCCTGGTGTCACCCGCTGTCCCCAGTGTCACCCGCTGCCCCCGGTGCCACCCGCTATCCCTGGTGTCACCCGCTATCCCTGGTGTCACCCGCTGTCCCCAGTGTCACCTGGGGACATGGGGGGGACACACAGACAGGGGGACACAGAGGGATGGGGGACACACACAGGGACACACCTGGGGGCACAGTGACACTCCTGGGGACGCGGTGACACACACGGTGACACACACACGGACACACACGGTGACACACGCGGTGACACTCCTGGGGACGCGGTGACACACATCACACCTGGGCACTTGGCACGGTGACACACACGGGGACA